TGGACAAAGACCTTTTATTGAAATATCATAAGAACTGAGATTCTTAACACCCTTTGCTTCCTTTTCCATGACTCTGCCATTGTCACTGCAGAAGTACAAGGGGGCTCCACAGGATTGAGAACCATTTTGCATTTTTTTCTTTTTCCATGGATTCCATAACCAAAGAACTTGTTGTCTAATGGTCATTAGCACATCATATACTTTTCTTTGTTGATCCTTGAACAACAAACACAATTCAGTGACTTTCCAGTGACTTTTTTAGCTTGGTAAAATGTGCCAGCATTCATATTCTATTGGCACAGCCTTTTAGAATTCAGGATTCATATCTTTGTCGTATTTTAAGCATTACAAGAAAACTGTATGGAATATGCACATAAAGGGGCTAGAGAAAGAAGAGGTCAGCAATGGAAACAAAAGGATTACTCAGAAAGGACAGGTGACAATAAAATTAATGTCACAGAAGACAAGAAAGGAATTTTAAGAAGGAAGTAGGCAACAGTACCAAATATTGTAGAGAGATTGAGAGTGAAGTGTGAAAATGCCACTATTTTTGACAGAGAGGCTATCTGTGACCTTTGAGAATGTAGAGTCATTAGGCCCATCAAAACATGTACCTCAAGAATAGAATATGGGGAGGCAGAGCCAAGATGGCAGAGTAAACTTGAGGACTCACTTGAGCTCCCTCAAACCCTTCCAAATACCTGTAAAAGATGACTCTAAACAAATTCTAGAGCAGCATACCCACAAAAAGACAGAGTGAAACAAATTTCCAGCCCAAGACAACCTGGATGGTTGATCAGAAAGGTATATTGCGCCAAGCTGGGAGAGGAACGCATTTCGGTGTGGGCATTTCGGGCTGAGCGGTGTGGGCGCTCAGTCAAGGCAGGCCTCAGTGAACCTGGAGCAGGCCTCAGAGGACTGAATCACAGGCAGCTGTGGCAGTTTCCAGACTTCTCAACCCAGGAACGCCAAAGACAACTTAGAAGGTCAATAGGAAAAGTCTGTATCTGTGGTAAGAGAGAAGCGTGGGGTCTTAGTCCCAGTCCCAGTCCCCACGTGAGGCCCTGGGGCAGCGGCTGCTTCTGGAACTTCTGGCCCACAGACTGAGAGGGAATTGAGTGGCTGATCAGAAGGGGATTGCAGGGATCTCTTTGCTGGTGCAGGATTCTTTTGCATTGCCTGTTCTTGGATCTGGGTCACAGTTCTGGGTGGCAGTCCTAGGGCAAGCAGGAGCGCTGGCATGATGGAGCTTATAGTGGCAGTGGAAAGGAAATCTTCCTCACAGTTCCAAGACAGAAAAGAGTGCTTGTGGTCACTCATAGATCAGAGCACAGGCCAGGAAATGAGTAAACACCTCGCCCTTGATCATAGCACTTTGGAAGAACTGAAAATTTACAGGTCCCTAGAAGTATCTCCAAAAATAGCTGCACAAAACCCCTGAAGCTTGGGACAGTACACCCTCCACACTGGAAGCAAAGTCCTACCTTAACAAAGAGTTAAAAAATCAAGAAATTGGCTGGGAACATGAGCAAACAGCGGAAAAACACTCAGACTATAGAAATTTACTTTGGTGACAAGGAAGATCAAAACATACAACCAGAAGAAGACAACAAAGTCAAAGCTCCTACATCCAAAGCCTCCAAGAAAAATATGAATTGGTCTCAGGCCATGGAAGAGCTCAAAAAGGATTTTGAAAATCAAGTAAGAGATGTAGAGGAAAAACTGGGAAGAGAAATGAGAGTGATACGAGGAAATCATGAAAAACAAGTCAACACCTTGCTAAAGGAGATCCAAAAAAAAAAAAAATACTGAGAAAAAAAAACTTAAAAAATAGACTAACCCAAATGGCAAAAGAGGTCCAAAAAGTCAATGAAGAGAAGAATACATTAAAAAGGAGAACTGGTCAAATGTAAAAGGAGGTCCAAAAGCTCACTGACGAAAATAATTCCTTAAAAATTAGAAAAATGGAGCAAATGGAAGCTAATGACTCTATGACAAATCAAGAAATTATAAAACAAAACCAAAAGAATGAAAAAATAGAAGACCGTGAAATATCTCATTGGAAAAACAACTGACCTAGAAAACAGATGCAGGAAAGAGCCTAGACATCATCTTTCAAGAAATTATCAAGGAAAACTGCCCTGATATTCTTGAACAAGAGGGTAAAATAGAAATTGAAAGACTCCACTGATCACTTCCTGAAAGAGATCCCAAAAGGAAAACTCCCAGGAATATTACAGCCAAATTCCAGAGTTTCCAGGTCAAGGAGAAAATATTGGAAATAGCCAGAAAGAAACAATTCAAGTATTGTGGAAACACAATCAGTATAACACAAGATTCTACATTAAGGGATCAAAGGGCTTAAAATACGATATTCCAGAGGTGAAAGGAGCTAGGATTAAAACCAAGATTCACCTACCCAGCAAAAATGAGTGTAATCAATGAGGGGGAAAAACTGACATTCAATGACAAAGGAATTTAATGCATTCTTGAAAAGCCAGAGCTAAGTAGAAAAATTGACTTTCAAATATAAGACTCAGGAGAAGCATGAAAAGGTAAACAGGAAAGAGAACTCATAAAGGACTTATTAAAGTTGAACTGTTTTCATTCCTACATGGAAAGATATTTGTAACTCATGAGACCCTTCTCAGTATTAGAGTTGAGTAAAGAAATACACTTCATTCAACAAAAAAACATGAAGGAAAGGAGAGGAGGGGGGATAAGAGGAAGTACTGGCTAAAGGAGAGAATCATCCTAGGCAAAACAAACTCTCACTCTTAAAGATAGATTGGCAAAGAAAAAGGAAAGGAAGAAAAATTAAGAAAGTGTCACTGGGCTCTGGTCAAGATTAAGAAGAGAGGGGCAGGGGAGCAGAAGAAGATCATATCACACTTAGAGTATTAGTGCTCAGCACATTCCTCTCTTTTTATTTTTATTTTATTACATATTCCTCTCATATTTCCTCTTCTCATTCCATGATCTTTTTTATATAGAGGGGGCAGGAAACTGATCAACACAATGACCAACCATGATTCCAGAGAACTCACAATGAAACATGCTATCTACCTTCATAGAGAAAGTTGATACACAAAGGGTAAAAACTCAGTTGTATATTTTTTGAAAATGTCCGTTGTGGGAATTTACTTTGTTTTACTATGCGTATTTATTAGAAGGACTTTGTGTTTCTTTCTTTTTCAAATGGGAAGGGAAAATTTTGGTCAATTGAAAAAAACAGAAGTATAGGTTAAATATAATTAAAATTAAAAAGAAAAGAGTTAACTGAAAAAAATCTTTGTAGTGAGTTTCTCTGATAAAGGTCCTATTTCCAAGATATATAAGGAACTGATTCAAATGTATAAGAATAAGAGCCATCTAACCAACTGGTAAATGGGTCAAAGGATATGAAGAGGTAGTCCTCAGAAGAAGAAATCCAAGCTATTGGTAGCCATGTAAAAAATGCTCCAAATCACTAATAATTAGAGAAATGAAAATTAAAGCAATCCTGAAGTTCTACCTCACACCCATCAGATTGGCAAACTTGACCAAAAAAGGGAAATGACATGTATTTGGTGGTTGCTAATTTTTGTTAAATGTTCTAACTTCAATTTACTGATGAACAATGAGGCACAGAAACATGAAGTGACTTGTCTTAAGTCACACAGGTAGTAAATAACCAGGAATTTGAACCCAGGTCCTCTGACTCTAAATCAATGTTCTTTCCATCATAATATGCTACCTTACACTTGAATCTCCAAAGTCTGTTCCAGCTCTCAAATTCTATGATTCATTTAAGTTTTAATTATTATTTTTGTACTTGGGGCAAGATAAGGATTATTTTGATCATAAGAGATCTGTTAACTAAGTTATTCCTATAAAGGAGAGAAAGGAAAAACCAAGTTACTTTTGAATTTGGAAATTAAGTAAGGATATTTAGAGAGCTGACTTTTTACAGATACATAAAAATGTCAGATTTATCTCTTCAAAAAAAAAGCAGAAATTTAGCCATAATTCATTTCTCACAGAACTTCTGTATTGAAAGGGTAACAGGTGATTTAGTCCAATCTGTAATTGTACGGGAGTCACCAGTCTAATACAAGATGCCCAAAGAGTAAACAGCTTTCACTTGAAGACTTCTAGAACCTAGGGTAGAATATTCATTACCTCCTGAAGCTATTCATTCTGCCTCTGAATAGCTCTAATTGTTAGGAACTTTTTCTTTGCATCAAAAAAAGCTGCTTCTTTTCAACTTCTCCCTGTTCCTCCTGCTTCTGCCCATTTGGACCAAGTAGAAAGAAAGAGTCCTATAATCCTTCTTCCATCTGATAGCCCTTCAAATATTTGAAAACAGCTATCATGTCCTCCTGAAATTTTCTCTTCTACAGGACAAATATTCCCAGTTCTTTGAACTGATCATCCATAGTCTCTGCAATTACCTGGTTGTCCTGTTCTGCACCTGCCAGCTTGTCAATGTCTTTCCTAAAATGTAATTCCTAGAAGTACAGGAACATTACCTGCCTTTTTCTGAAAACTATGCCTCTTTAAATGCAGTGTACAATTGAATTAGCTTTGTTATATTTACAATCTGAAGGCCGTGGCTTTAATGCTGACTGTGTAACTTGTGACTCAATTATTTAATCTCATTTTTTTCTGTTTCCTCATTCATTAAATGTTAATAATACCAACCCAATGCTTATGTGAGAATCAAATTAGATTTACAGGTAAGTATTTTTTAAAAAATTTTAAATGTTACATGAATGTAAGGTATTTATTCATGCTGCTATTTATATAGAGCATTAAAATTCTAACCTGCCATTCAACCAATATTAGCAAAATTCTATGACAAAAACTACCTTATATACCAACATACAGATACTGAGAAAGATTATCTTGAGTGTTTCATAAAGAAAAATAAAATTAAAATACATTAAAATAAACCTTCATCACTTCTAAAATATAAGAGGACACTAAACTCCAAATAGAAATTAATATTTGACACATACTTTTACATCCCATATTTGTAAAAAGATTCTTCAGTTCAGATTCCTTAGTTTGTGATTTTATTCCACATACATATATTTTTGAGGTACTCTGATTTGTCAGTGTTGACATATGAGCAACAGTGTACCAGGAACCCATGTTAACCAATAAGATGTCATCATCCATATTCAGCAAGGTCTTTACAGAATGAACAGCAAGACTTCGAGATTTATCCTACGTGGGAACAAACAGTGTTATTAGAAATCACAAAAGATAAGATTCAGAAGATCTACTTTATTTGTTCTACATTAATGGAAATATTCTTAACTTTTTTAAGTTTCTTAATTTTTATTTAGCCAAAGGAATCTGAATAATGAACAAATTTATTTGATATCTAAACTTAACCTAAAATAGGTACATTGTGCTTTGTCTTTCACACAGTAAAATAAGACAAAATAGGCAGCACCTGACTTGATATGTTATGAAAATACTCATTTGTAAACGTTACCACAGGAATTGTCCAGTCACAGAAACCCATTGTCAACCTCTATTGTCATCTTTGCTGCCATAGCTCAGAGATGCTCAAACTTCAAAGAACACAGAGCAAGGATTTGGGGTTCAGAAATCAGGAGTAGAGATGTTATTACTATAGTTCAGCTACAACTATACACTAAATAGGCTTTTGCTTGCTAGCCTGAGAATTTAACAAGTGGCTAGCACAGTGCCTGGCACACAATAAATGCTTAATAAATACTTGACTAACTGATTATCTATCATTTATAACATTATTTCCACAGGAAAAATATATTCTAAGTTTCAAAATATCGACTTACAAGTGAATTTTTGGAACACAAAACATTTATAAGTTGGGATTTCCTTTGGCTATAATAAGGTTAGGGATAAGGTCTGGACCTGTAATTTCATTATTATAAGCAATTCCCAGGTAAAGAAAGAAATGCAGGTCAGCATCTTCTCTGCAATTTGTATTAGAGAGTAGCCTAGAGGTTAAGTTACTTTCCCAGGCCCCAAGGCTTTGTGTCAAAGAGCTTGAACCCAGGTCTTCTTGGCTCCAAGGCCACCTTTCTAGCTACTCTGCCATGTTGCCCTATTTAATTCCTACTTAATCTTCTGATAATGAAATATTAATCCAAATTTTAAAGTTGAGAAAAAAATTTGGAGTTTTATTTACTACAGAATTCAGTTCTTAGTTAAGTCATAAATGGCATTTAAGCTTCAACACCTTTCTGAGAAAGCTGTGATCTTGGATATTCAAAGACCACTCAGTAAAGATTTCTCAAAGTAAGCTTTTTAACCCAGATGAGATTAACCCATTCCCAGATACCAGCAGCACAAGAATAAATTGTGGGGGTAAGGAAAGAGAAGCCATTTCTATGCTGCTTCAAAAGGGAATAAGGTCTGATAAATTCGAGGGGTGCCAGGTTAAATTATATTGAAGTTGAAATTAGAGAAAGCTGTAAATCCTCCTGATGATCTATAAGAAGTCTGAATAGAAAGTCCACATTCCACATTTAATATTTTGATGGGATGTGATGTTGAGACTTACAAGCTTGAGGAGTTTGCCTGAGGAAAAAGAATTAAGACTACTCAATTTTTTGTTGGTAAAGAGAATCTTTAAAAGCGAATGTTAGCTTACCTGAAACAAAAGTTTATAATCTGTACAAAGCTCTATATTAAGAAGTTCACTTTTAAGATGAGATGGGAAAATTAAGACATCACTGCAATGCTGGTCCATACAAAAAGATTTACACTCCAAGTCAAATGCAGATCTGACTTTGGTGTATCCTCCTTTCTTCAAATCATCGCAAACAACTTCAGGGCTGTTGACACAACATTCAATTATTTATTTTTACTATAATTACAATATAGGAGATTAAATATACATTTTAACACATTATGGTTCTATTAACATGAAAAATAATCAATATCACCCAAGCAAACTAATGTGAAGATTATTCTTATATGTATCTAGTGCAACTTTTTAGAGTCAGCCTGCAGAAGCATGTTTTAGGGCATAAAAGGATTGCTATAATTTTCTTTTTTAATTTAGAATTAAGATCTCAAATTAAACCAAGAATCAAGATTTAAAATATAAATTAAGAATTACATTTTTATACAAATATTCTTCTTCAGTAAAAGATGATCTCAAATTTATACTTAATTTATTTTTCAGGTTTTACCATGAGGAAAGGAGATGGGGTGTGGGGACTAGCTGGACCTTTGATTTCACTGGTATAGGCAACTTGGGGAAACTCCTACCAACACAGGTCGACATTTTCTCTGAAACTTAGTCTTATATAGTTGTCTAAAGAAAGGAGAGGTTAAGTGACTTTCACATAATGGAAGTATATATTTGAAATCTTACCTGATTTTGCAAGTATTTACCCAAGCATAAAGTGGCAAAGTAGAAGCTCTTTGTTCCTGTTTTCTAACAGTTTCTGGTAGAATTTGGTAAATTGAAAGAGCATCATGTTTAATTCGACATCTTGCCAGTGCTGCAGCCAATTTTGTTTTAAAACTAAAAATATAAAATCCACTTTTTACTGAGATTTAAGATACAAAGCTACCAATATCCCACTAGAAATGTTAATAAATTCTACTCCAAATTTTGGTAATTTCCTTTTCAATCCCACCTCATGTTTTAAAATAAATTTAATAAAATTTGCCAAATTTTGAAATGGAAATCTACTTACTTTCCTGTTCTCCCCTCTGATATCTATCTCTTGTCTTATGTCTTTCTGCATCTCCCTAGGCCTCTATTTCAGTGTTAATTGCTAGTATGGACTTCAACATTATAGTCTTAAGGCTTAATAACTTTCATGAACCTGACTCTGGCCCTCCCCTCTCCTAAATATCCCATATCTAACAATGCCTGTAAACAAAGAAAAAAATTTAAACAGTATCCTGAAAACTCCATGATTTTTATTGATATCTCAAACCCCAAAAGAGTATCAGTCTTATAAAAGCCCAAATTGTGATGACACAACCTAAGCTATTTATTCCTAAAGTAATGGAGGATTGTTTGGGGTGAAATATACAGTATACAGTATATTTTACATAGCACCCCTGTGACATTTTTATATAGTTGAAATCTGGTTTAGAGGAATAACACAGACAGCCTTGAAGATGGGGGAAAAGTCACAAAACAAAGGGGCAACAAGCTACCAGACTAGTCACAGTCCCAACCAAAGTTCTTCAATGTTGGAGAGTAAACGTAAGAAGGTCAGTAAGAGGTTTTAAAGTAATACTTAAGGTATTCATTTTTATCAACTGCTTGCTCAATTACTTTTTCTCCCTCCAAATGCCTCCCTAAGTTACTACTTAGATCAATATACCACTAAAGATACCCAATTCCCAATCCTGATGCATAAATTCCCCCCAAAAATATGAGAACTAAGGCTGCCCTCCCTGAAAAAGGCTCTGACCACAACAAAAGTAGATTGTTCTAGTTCCTATGTCTAAGAGTTATATAATACCACAGCAATGGATGCTAGATATGTATGTATTAAACTGTCGTAATTCAAAGAATGAAGATTTTTTTTTGGTCAGTATTGCTAGCTCATAAAGGAGTGAGCTACAACTATGCATTTTACATCAAGAGCTCCTCCTGCTGGGCAGAGATCTTACTTAATTTTTACTGCTTTCCAAGGACTTTGTTAGCATGGAATTTCTGTTTAGCAAGTACTACTGGTCAAGTGACTTGAAGTGTTAAGTCCTGAGTAAAAACAACCACAACTAGCCCAAGGAAATTGAAGAAAAAAAAACTATAAACACCTTTTCCAGGTTTTTGTTTGGGTAATAGTTTTTTCTTCTTCCTGAAAAACTTCACAAGTTTAGATTATATACTTTTAAACACTGGTAAATAAAATATTTATGATAAGGTATTCATATATTGCTTACTGGTCTTCTTTCCTTCGAATAATTCTTTCACCTAAGAAATGGAGACTTTTATGCGTAATTCTCAGCAGTGTGAGCTCATTATAATTCCTTTCAAACCAAGGACCAACATCAGTACAGAATAACTAGAGCAGCACAATATGGTATAAATAATGATCTTTGCATTTGAGGATCTAAGGGTTAAAAATCCCTGCTCGGCCCTTTTACTACAAGTATGACCTTAGGCAATCTCAACTTCTCCAAGCCTTAGTTTCCTTAATTTGCCCAGTTAAGAGATTGAACAAGCGGCTCTATAGTCTCTTTCTGTTCTTGTATTAAGTTATTTAAATTAGAATATGAAACTCTATTTTAGAATGCATTAAAAGTGTTTTTATAAGTTATATATCAGGGAAAGAAATTACTCAACCCATAAAAGGCACTGTAACCAACAAAGAGCAGGACACCCCATCCTTTCCCCGCCATAGGACAAATACAGAGAGAAGAGGGAACAGCATCAAGCAAGGAGCATGACCTTTTGAAGCAGAGAAGAGAGCTGGACCAGGAACGGACCCCAAAATTTGCCGAGCAGAAACAGCGTACCCGAGAGGAAGACTGAAACAAGAAAGGAAGCCTGGGCCGGCAGCCCTCACAGCATCACCTTTGCATGTACACATTTCTTGCATGTGGTACCTCTTTACCATTACCCTCTAAGTCTGAGCCCCCTCTTTCCAGCAACACTGTATATTTGTGAGAGAATGCACCTTGGGTATGTTGGCAGAAGGCAATCTTTTGTAGCTACTATTTTTTTTACTATGTCATTGTAGTAAATGCTTTTGTAAAGAGCTAATGGTGCCAACTGGGTGACTCTTAATGGCAAGCACAAGAGTGGAAGCTAGTGAGCTACAGTGGAAGGAGCAGCAGCCCATAGGGTATTGTATAACCTGAAGTAGCAGCCACCCTCTGGGGATCCATCCTGTAGGTAAAAGTTCGAAGAGTAGGCCAGAGGGGATGCTACATATGTAAATTTTTTTTTTAAATATGCTTTAATGAGCAGGACCCTGAATTGAACAGAAGGAAGAGATTGGACAGGATCACATTTGGGAAACTGAGTTCCACCTTCAAAGGATCCCAAGCTCTTTGACATCACAAAAGCCCATCTCTTGGACACCAGTATTCTCCATCTGATCCTAAATGGCCGCCTAACATGGAACATCATGATCTAAGAATCAATTGCAACAGAAAGGTACGTGGTAGATATTATCTATGAAGCAGCATAACTAGCACCCGAGAAATGTATAAATGACATCAAAGACACGTGTTATTTAAAAAGGAAATAGGTTAGTTCAATAATGTGAGGGAAAATGGTAAACCTGAGCACTATACTGATATCCACAAAATAATGAAAGAACTATCAAACTAACTCCATCACAGGAGTACATCCTGAATGGAAGATTTATAAGAAAATGCAGAAGCAAATGGAATGAGAGGGCATGATTGGCTACAATGTGCCCCAGTGAGTACATGGAGTGCTCATATCAGTGAGATTATAGCTCCATCAAAATTTTAAATTATAATTGAATTCTTATTAATTTAATATGTTGTTAAATTCAACATACTTAGCTTTAACAATGAGGAAAAGCCTGCAGGAGTTACTTACTGCTCAAACTTAAAGATAACTCCATTACTAAATTTCCATACACCATAATATGTGCTTATATATAATCTAGATACTAAACTTTTAAAAAATTTTCTCCTCAGCAAAACTGTGAGACCAACTTATAGCATATGGGAACATTTTCTACCACAAGTTATTCTGAGAGGAAAAAAATTAAATACTATCAAATGAAACATACATTTCCAAATGCCACTAGGATAAACAAACATATTCTTAAATAAAAGTAATATATTGCAAACATTAAAAAAATCATTCTTAAGTAGGACTATAACTATTAAAAATTGTCCAAGCACAAGGTGTTGAGGGCCTGCTCTAGAATGGTGGCTATGTCAGAGGAGAGAAGGAAGCATATTCCAGGGCTATTACAAAGATAAAACTGACAGGACTTGGTAATAGATTGGACATTTGAGGTGGGGGGAGAAAGCATCTAACATTAAATAATGTTAGATGGAGTCAAACTCAATGACTTCCAAGGTTTCTTCCAGATCTAAATTAATGATTCTATTATAATGATGTTAAAGCAGGGGTGGGGAACCTGTGGCTTCAAGGCCATATGTGGCCCTCTAGTTCCTCAGGAGTGGCCCTTTGACTGAATCCAAACTTCATAGAACAAATCCCCTCAATAAAAGGATTTGTTCTGTGAAACTTGGACTCAGTCAAAAGGCCACACCCAAGGACTGGAAGGCCACATGCGAGGCCACAGGTTCCACACTCCTGTATTAAAGTGTTCATGCTGGACAATTTTCAAAGGAAGAAAACCAAACTACCAAAAGCCATATGAGAAAATGCTCCAAATCACTAGTAATTAAAGAAATGCAAATTAAAACTGTTCTGAGGTTTTACCTCATATCCATTAGATTAGCAAAGTCGACAAAAAGGGAAAATGACAAATGTGGCAGGGGCTTTGGGAAAACATTCACAGTAATTCACTGTTGGGAGAACTGTGAATTGGTCTTGCCATCCTGGAAAATAATTTGGAACTATGCCAAAAAAGTTACTGAACTGTACACAGTAATAGTACAATTAGGCCTATACCCCCCAAAAAAATCAAAGAAAGAGGAAAAGGACACACATGTGTTAAAATAGCTATAGATGCCTTTTTAATAGTGACAAAAACTGGAAACCAATTACAGTTGGAGGCATCAATTCGGTGATCAAATTGTGGTATATAAATGTAACTGAATTATCACAGAAATGATGAAAAGGATAACTTCAGAGTATTGATGGAGAATCAAGTGAACATAAAACCAGGAGAACAATTTATACAGTAACAATAACATTGTAAAGACTAACAACTTTAAAAGAGTCAAGAATGACCAACCACAATTCCAGAGGAATATTCTATTCACCTCCTGAGAGGGGCAAAATGTGCAAAATTAGATTTATTTCTGGACATAGCCAATTATTTTGGACATAAGTCAATTCAAGAGTTTGTTTTGCTTAACTGTGGATGTTTGTTACAAGAGTTTTGTTTTTCTTTTTTTTTTCCCATGGAAGGGATGTGGGAGGAGCAAAGATATTTATTTTTGTTAGTTGAAAGAAATTAAATTTTTAAAGTGTTCTTATTGCAACTGCTTCTACAACATCATCACTAAAGTTTTCTTGATAATACTCTCAAGCAATCAACTTATTGTAAGCTACTATATACCCAAATAAAAACACTTAATGACTTCATCATTGAAAAGATGACATGTAAAAAAAATCAAGAATAATTGAATGAAATCTTGCAAAACATTTGTCTGTAACACCATTTTTCAATAACTGTCAAGCATACTAGCAAGCAGTCTTCAAATTACTAAGGCTATCAAGCCATTCACCTAGCACGCATTAATTGAACAAAAACTCTTTTGGGTCAAATCTGTGAATAGGTAATGCAATCTGTACAAGGGTAATCAATAAAACACTGTGTCTCCAGATATATGAATGGTGATATTCTTTGAAATTTACCAAAAAATAAAGTCACTCTT